CATAAGAAATATACATTATACCAGGGTTGTTCCTTTGTAGATCACCGAGTGTGGAATGCATATATGTTATAATTGTGTTCAAACTGATAAACAGTACTGGTATAAAAACTGCGTGACACCTGCGGTCCGACACAGTAGCCCAATACTCTGAGTCGAATACCGGCTGTAGAAATATGATGAATATTACCTGTGCTGACTGGAATTCGTTATCTGATGCGGATGGTTCTGCTAATTTCTTTCAGTCAGTGTCGTGCGTTTGCGAAACGAACATAAATCTATTATTATCTATTGATCAGCAAAAACACGCAACAATAAGTCAGGATGGTTTCTGGAAACCCTTTGAAACAGATTCTTCAAATAATAGTGAATTAGTGTCGAACGAAAATGATTACGGAAATAAGGACTTACATGTTCAAAGTCAACGTATCGTTTTGAATATATATATGAATGCCTGAAGAAAGAAAATTACTATCAATCGCAGAACGATATTTTGAAGAGAATTTGCGAGTTAAATAAACTATCTCGTTCAACAGTTCTTCGAGTGATTAAAACTGGGGATGTCATCGGCCACTTTATCAAACCATTGTCGATCTAAATGAAAACCTAGTAGGCGACCTAGTGCGAGGAGGATAGCTCCTGCCTACTAACTACCTAACTAGGTTGTCATGCAGAACGACAATGATCAAACGTAAACAAAGAAACAAAAAATTTACACCAACAATGAGTGCATCAGCAGTAGACATTAGACAATACAAGGAGGGTCGTGCTAGAGTTAGAAGATATCGAGATTTGGAGAAACTGCGTCGGTCACGTCATAAAAGAAGAAAACAAATATTATTTGTTAATGTTCATCATGAATCCTATCATAATTCAACCCAATAACGATTCCACTTCTGAAGAAGACGAAGAAGGCGATTGATGTGTGGTGTGATTGACAGAAGGTACCTATTCGTGATATAAAATGCGCGGCAAATTATCGACTAGGTATATTTTTTATTAACGATAATACAAGGATTTGCAAAAACTCCCGATATAACAGGATATAATAATTGACATCTCTCTGGTTGTGATACGTATTTCTGGATCAGTCTAAATATCCAAGGTTCAGTTTGAAAGAGACGCATCCTTGTGTATTTTTGCAAATTCTCGAAGTATTCTTCCGAAATATCTAGAGGAATATCAAAACGAATTCATTGAACACATATACCACATAGCTCACCATTTTATTTTCAATTATAAAATATACAATGTAACTACTTATTTTCGAATATTCTTCGATATCGTTTTACATGATTTATGTGATATATCGTCTCAATACATACATTATTGATGACATCGAAATTGCGTACGCCTATGGCAAGGCTGCAAGATCATAGAGAATTGCCGCCTTCATGTTTTTATGCTGGTCCAATTGGTATTAGAAATACTTTACCTACTCTGAATAAACGTATTACTGATTAGCTCAACAAATAAAACTCATCAATCAATAATACTACCAGATCGTTTGAATTTGCTGAACAATTTTTTGCTCAAAAAACAGAGTTTTTTTAAATCAGCAGTGGCAAGAAAGGAACAAAAAAGGAAGGCCATCTGTAGAATTGAAAATCCAATGATAAACGCAAATAAGCTATCATCGAAATGTCACTATTAGATTATTGATGTTGATTTATTGGAGCTGATGGCTAATTATGTTGCCCCTGTTGAAAAGATGTGAGGTTGTTACCTGTTTTCCTGTCCAGTTTTACTGAAAGGAGAATCAATACAAAAATCTCTGTTCGAATACTAACCTGAAAATCATGCATCTTTGTGCAGGCAAGTTTAGATCACTTCTGTAGGTTTAGAACGCTATTTTTCAGAAATTGCTCGTCAAAAAATAGTAAAGTAGGGTACCGTTGGAAAGAGAATTGAACGCCCTTCAAAATGATGTGCCACTTGACCCCTCTTCCCTATTCATATTCTGAGGGTAACATCTACCCCTCCTAGGGGGTTGAACCATGAGGGTCAAAATGATTCATTCGAAGTGTCCCCCTCGAAAATAAAATCGACCTGTCTTTTCGTTTTTCCATATTATCGACTTGGAGGGAGATATTGAGGGTGGGAAGTTTTCAAATTGACACCCTGTATATAAATTGTCCAATGATGAAAGAAGAAGGGCAAATTGTTCTAAATGCGACCCAGAAGACAGACGGAAGGAGAAGAACGTGAAATTTGTAATTTTATACTGAAATATCTTGATAAATAATGGTTTGTTCACATTTTCATCATCAAAGTCGTGTTTTTCAGGCAAAAATACGTGAGTATCAGGAAAAATTTTCGAAAAAAACTACCAACATGATAAATGCAGTTTTACCGTTATTTGTTTTACTAGACAGGAAAGCACGAGATATTAGACAGGAAAGCACAAGATACTAGACAGGAAAGCACAAGATCTAATGTCGCACATAAAACATATAACTTTTTCTCCAAATTCGTCAAATTCCACGCAAACTCCAAATACTCCATCATTTTGTGCACCCAAAGTCATTGTCAATTTTGATTACCAATTTGATTCGAACTATTTCTAGGAACGTTGCATAGCTAAATACTTTTCCTGCCTATAGGCAGTACTTTTCTGCCTAGGCAGAGAAAGTACAGGGTGGCTGGAATTCGAGGCAAATCATTGGAATCTCCTGAACCGTGAGAAATACAGGGTCTGTTAAATCATGGCGAAAATGCGCAATTTGATGCTGATCAAAATGCCGCCTCAATAGTTTGGAAATTCCGAATACTTCCGAAGATATTTGAAAAAAAAAACTAATATCCGCGATTTCGTTCTTATTTTTTTCTGACTTCATTTGGAGTGATATGTCAAAATAAATATCATATTAGCATTGCCACTTTTTATGCTATATTCAATGGCATTAATAGATTCATGATCCGACGTTTCGTCTTCGAGGAGCCATCATCAACCTTCTTTTTTAAATGGTCTAAATTTTTTGTTCCTAAAAAACTAATTCCAATCCTGAATCAAACGACATATAAGACCATAAATCATTATCATTGATATTTGATGATGGTTACGAGGAAACGAGACGTCGGAACAAAAATGACTGCGAAAATGTCGAATTCATTTTGGTCTATCTCTATTTCAGTTTTCAATAAAAAGTTATTCTCCAAGTTTCTAATTCTAAGAAATGATGTTTTCTGATTTCACTATAAGAGATAGACCAAAATGAATTTGACATTTTCATTGCCATTTTTCCTCATCTACAAGTTGCCATCATCAGATTTTTGATCCGACGTTTCCGTTCCTCGTAACCATCATCAAATAACACTAATAATGATTTTTTGGTCCGAAACGTGAAAAAGTTGCAAAGTGTTATATTATGTCGTTGGATTCAGGATTGGAATTAGAGTATTTTAGGAACGAAAAAATTATTTTTGACCATTTAAAAAAACAATGGCTCCTCGAAGACGAAACGTCGGAACACGAATCTATCAACGCCATTGAATAGAGCAGAAAAAGTGGCAATGCTTACATGAAACTCATTTTGACATATCACTCCAAATAAAATCACAAAAAAAATTGAAACGAAATAGCGGATATTCGGTTTTTCAAATATCTTCGGAAGTATTCGAAATTTACAAACTTTTGAGGCGGCATTTTGATCAGCATGAAATTGCGAAACTTTGCCATAATTTCACTGACCCTGTATCTCTTACGGTTTACTAGATCCCAATGATGAGCCTCGAATTCCAGCCACCCTGTACAATGCCGTAGCGGTGTTCAATGAAAAGTCACTTTCTATGTCATTTGAAGAAAAAATAGTTATTTATTATACAAGGGAAAAAAGTAGTAGATTTTAGCTCCAGGTTGTGTTGTCTCCCGACGCGTAGCGGAGGGAGACAAAAAACCGTGAGCTAAAATCTAATATTTTTCCCGTGTATAATACACTATTTTTTTCTGTGACAGAAGGAAGGACGAATCAATATTGGGAAGATATTACATTATTTCGAAATCTGAAAATTATCGACGTGAAATTTCAAGTTTTTAACAGTAGGGACACCTGCGTTTTATAGACATCTTCTTCATTCTTTTGAAGTAATCAAATATCTGATGTCACTTCTGTCAGTTCAATTCTGTGATTTGATTTTAAAAAATTGCGAATTCAGTAGTTGTTTAGTAATATACGAAACCGCGAAGTCGAATGGAAGATAAAAGGACTTGCAGTTCTTTCTCGGAGACGGTATTATTGACTTATTTTTCGGAACTATAGCACAACAAAAGCCATTAACAGAGTATATATATGTGATATATATCCGGGAAAGAAGTACTCACTTTTTTCCCACGGGAAAAAAGTAATTTATGAAAAGTGACATTTTATAACCTGCCAACAGAGATGAAATGCCAAACTTTTTCCCCGTCACAGAAAAAAAAACATTTTTAGAAAAATCACAGTAGGTTGCCATGATGAATTATGATAATAAACGAGGTTTAGAAGTTCCACTTTGGTCCCTCAAATATGGGATCAAAAGTACTTTATTCCCTGCAGAAAATAGTTTTTCTATCCGTGTGCATGAAACTTTTACTTAGGACTCTACCTCGAGTGGGACACACTGTATATTGATAGGTAAGTTTCATTATTTGAATCAGCTGACGCATATGTAAACACCCTGTAGTGAGCTTGGAACAATACAAACGGAAAATTACCAAATCAACTGTTGAGTTATCTCCAAATAAATTCTCCGATATTTTCGCCATTATTGTAAAGAACATCCATTTGATTAATATGAACTACTAAATGTATGTATAGTGAATCTGGCAAATTTCCTAATAGGTTTGCTGAATGGACAATGAAATTTCAATATGAGACAACCAGACATCTTAAATCCAGTCAAATAATCTGAAAGGCTTTGAAACAGCGCTGGATCTTGGCAACAAAATAAAAGAGACAAACCAAACAGTCCCGCAAAATAAGTTTGCTGGTTGCAATATTGAAAAAAAATCAAAAATCACTCACCTGGAAATAGGAAGAAGAAGCTGGTGGAGTACAAGCGCATTGTTGTTGGAAATCATTATTGGAGGCGTTTCCATAATTCATCCCGATCAAGCCTCGCGGGGAATTCAGCCCCAGCAGATCTGAAATCGACGATAAAGTATCACCTGCCATGGCGATTGTTCGATGAACGATCGATTCGTTAAAACTTCCTAAAAATTCGAGTTAAACGTTTAAAAAGTTGAGTCAAATATAACCGGGCACATCGGACACGTTCTCTTTTATGTGCACAACAAGAATGAAGTTTCAATAAAAAGTCACAGCTAGCTACTTGTTTTTTGACAATCAAGTCAACAAAAACCCGAGAAGCCTACTTCGTTTTTTGTGAAACGGTCCCATTTCTGCAATACTGCGCAAAATGTTTGTTATTATTTTTTGTCAACTATAGCACTAGAAATTCCAATAGAGGTGGAGGTATTCGGATTGAAGATTACAGTTTGTCAATCATACTGAATATTACTGCTGAAATAATTGTGAATTCACTATACAGAGGGTTAATTTTCGAACATATTTAGAAATATTGGAAAAGTGGTAATTTCTTGATGAATTTCAACGTGATGAGTTACCAACCATGAACATATTTTTTCAAATGCATATTCACGTAATATACTGAGTGTACACGTTCAGAAAAAAAACATGTCCCGTTAATTGCAAAATAAAAACAGCTGGACAAAAGACTACCCAATGGGACCTTGTTGTCATGAGAAAAGAATGAAGATCGATTGAACAATTTGACAAAAGATGAAATGAATTTGTTTATACAGGATGTTGTACCTGAAAAAAATGAAGTACTAAAATATACAAGGTGTGCCATTTCAACTCGATACACACTCCTAATTTCGAATCCATCGATAATATACAGTGTGCCCATTTAGTGCGTAATTTTTCGATATCTCGGAATCCATTATCACAAGAGAAAAACTTTTGATAACAAATTCCTTCCGTTATTGAAGGTTCCTATTTCAAAAATATTTTCAACAATACTGGGTGTTTTATAAAAGCGGGACGACTCGAAGATGAGTTTTTTTAAATAGAACCTAGTATTTTTTATTCGAAATACATTCCGCTAAGGTTGAGCTTAAAAAAAATTTAATTTGGTTGCGGCGTTGCCAAGTTATAATTGATAAACCCATTTTTACCACTATTGAAGAGTCATATTGAATTGGGTATGGTATATTCATTTATTGAAATTTTGAAAATATTTTTGGCATACAGTAGTAGCAAGGTCTCACTTACACCAATCCAGTAATTTTGCGAGACAATCATTCACAGGGTGCTAAAATTCACATTCTGAATATTGTAAGATGACGTTCATTAGAAATTTTCAAATGAAACACCCTGTATTTTTCATCACAGATTTATTTCGACATCATTCGCATTTTCATCGCTGAATAAAAATCAAAATCGGTTGTGGCGTTTTCAAGTTATGAGTAATTTCCTTATGTTTAATACTATTTCAGGGCTACTTTTAAGGCATGGTTCCTTTATTTGATTTGAGTGTGGGAATATTGCTTGCCACATGACATCCGAGGTTCTACATATCATTCAGGTATTTTTGCGATATGTGCATTGTCCAAATTTATAATTTTCCGTAATCTTGTTACTTATGATTTAAATAATATGTACCTATGTGAAACAAACAAACATGCCAAAAGCAACGCCTGCCTTTAAAACAACTTCTACAATACAAACAATGGAAATATGGATTGCGAGAATAAGGACAATTTTTTGAAATTTGGGCCAATTTTATTGTCGTTATTCCCACAATCCATACCTATCTCCATTTAACTTGAAGGAGGTGAACATAATTTTTTTTTTTTCAATTGCATTTCCTCGTTGGACCCAGCACTGGATCCAACGCCCCATAAGTCGAAACTTGTGCGGGGTTAGAAAAGCATACATTTACAAACATCCATGGCCTAACTGGGATTCGAACCCATGCCTCGGTGGGAGTCCCCATACGAACTCAGCGCCTTCGCGCTCTCGACCACCGGGCCGCCTATAATGATACAAAGAATATTTTTTTACTACGCGGATTTCGGGGAGGAATTCAGCAAAATTTTAAATAAATTCAAGATATATTTGATTGTGGCGATGTTTGATAAGTCATTACACGAATATAACTGTATTTCTAAAAATTAACTCATAGTCTGCAAAAAATCTATGAAAGTAGCATTTTGGATAAATTTGTCAAAACCCATTTAAATCAAACTTGGAGAGCCTGTGAATGTTCCTATTGTAAAAAAATATATGAATGGTCAATGAAGAGATTCGATTATACCGTATACCAACGCAATATTTCCACAATACAAATAAATGAATGGACTACGACGTACAAATTACCCCGAGATAGTAGTAAAAATAAGGAAATTATCCATAACTTGACAACGCCGCAACCGATTTCGATTTTTTTTTCAGCGATGAAAAGGCGAAAGATGTCGGATTAAATTTGTGAATAAAAATACAGGGTGTACAATTAGATAAGTTTTAATGAATGTCATCTGAATCTTGCAAAATTCCAAATGTAAAATTGAGCGCTCTGTTAAAGAAGATGTCGCAAAATTACTGGATTGGTATACGTGTGAATGAATATACCATGCCCAATGCAATTTGACTCTTCAATAGGACTCTTCAATATAGTGGTGAAAATTGATTTATCAATTATAACTTGTCAACGCCGCAGCCGATTCCAATTTTTTTACAGCGATGTGAAGGTAAACCTTGGCGGAATAAATTCCGAATAAACAATACTGGGTGTTCCATTTAAAAAAAAACTCGTCTCCGAGTTGTCCCGCTTTTATAAAACACCCAGTAGTGTTGAAAATATTTTTGAAACAAGCAACTTTGGTAACTGAAGGAGTTTTTCTTTCAAAGTTTTCCTGTCTAGGTCATGGCTTTCGAGATATCGAAGAATTACGCACTAAATGGACACACTGTATATTATAGTACTCAACGAGCTATCTTCGAAAGTGTGGACAAATCTGAAATATTAAAATGTTCCTACTATCGTTTGATAAAACGTTTGGAATTTCAGAAATTACTAGATTTTTTCCGAAAAAGTGGATAGCCCTATACCGAGCCCTATACAGAATTTTGACGCAATAGAAACACATCGAATACTTAGATACGAAGTATCATGACATACAGAAAAATTTCTCTTGGCTAACCAGAAATCACTGAAGAGAGTAAAGAGTTGAAATTTTTTTATGGCGCACATCTTTTTTCCTGAAAATATAAATATTAGTGATTGATTCTAGTAAGCGGATATTGGAAATTCGAAAATACAAAGTGTTCTTTTTGGGGCACAGAAATATGATGAATTTTAGTTAATCCGTACCTACCTGGATTTTTCTCGTGACTGATAGGCGAGTTGCTGGGTACAGGAGAACTTGATTACCAAATTCCAAAGAGATATACTGGGTGGTTTGTAACTAATGTCCTCTCAAAGAATTGAGCAAAGTTGATAAAGCACCCTATACCTCGAATATAAACCCTAAAAGTATGGTAGGGTAAAGTAAGGTTATCTCGTGATATTCTGATGAAACTGTAGATTTTTCCATGAAAAATCAAAGGAAATCAATATTCGAACTCCGGTAGTAAACTTACAATACTTAGGCAACATATTCATGAAAAATTACATTGATTATCAAAAATCCTGAATTTTTGGATGGATTTTTGTTGATGCGGAAAAATGAGGCAATGTTGTGATAGGACATATAATGTCGTGATATGGGTAATTTAATGTCGTGATAAAATGCAAATGCGTACATTTCATTACAATTCAACATGACACTCATTTATAATTACAATCACTGGTGCCTGTTATCTTCTAGGTCTTCGCAGGTATTGCACATGTACACATCTTCATCATCTTGGAAGTCAGTTTGACAGGTTGTATGGTATGGAGTGAGACAGAAGGAACATTGTACCCAATTGGCGCCAGTTTTCCGTTTGACATCAAAAGAAAACTTCACCTCACATTTTCCGCAAGTCCAATCTTCGTCTTCTTCATCATTGGTCCTAGAGGAGCTGGGAGCTTCAATTGTAGTTGATGTGGAAGCAACTGGACCATCTGAGTCTGTATCCGCATCGAAAGTTGTTAGCAAGCGGGCCCGAGAGTCCCCCTTTCTCTTGCGTGTTGATATTTCTCTTCTCTGCACATTAGGCACTTTCAGAATCTCGTCCTCCGTCAGGGAAGGTGTAGAGCTAGAAGTTGTTTTGACAGGAGTAGATGCTTCTGACGTTGATAACAGTTGTATTTGCGGATCAGGAGCTGGCTGGTCTGTTAACATCGATGGTTTCAAAGCTTCTGGTGGAATTGCATTCCGATTGAAGGGATAGGCTCCAGATTTCTTGAATGCATTAATAATATTCATTGGTGTCATGCTTGCTATGAAAGGTTCGCTGAAAATCTCATGAAAGTTGTAACGGCTGGGTTTTTCAAGTGGATGAGCAAGCATGTAATTATTCAGAGCTTTACCCCAATGACTTTTCAGAGGCTTGTAAACACCTACATCTAATGGCTGCAATAGATGTGAGGTGTGCGCAGGAAAAGTAAACAAAAAAATTTGGTTGTCCTTTGCTAATTGAATTATTCCTGGATTTATATGGGAACTGTGGGAATCCATCAATAAAACAACAGGTCTGCAAGAAGGGATAGAAGCTATAAAGAATTCGAACCATTCTTTGAACAACTGTTCGTTTATCCATCCTTTTGAAGATAGCCTAGTTTTGGCATTGGGTAGAGCATTCTTTGCTAAATCATCATTCCACCGAACTCCTTTGAATATGACAAATGGGGGAATGAAGGTGCCATTTGCGCAGACACAGCCAATCACAGTGTGAGTATCTCCTCGTTCAGCGTAAGTTCTCTTATAAATGAATCTCTTACCAACCTGGCTGACAATTTTTCCACTCTTAACAACAAATGTTAGGCCAGTCTCATCAACATTCCATATTCTATCAGGCTTGTCCATGATATCTAGTTTTGTTAAGAGGTCTTCCAGTTTAGAATAATAATCGTCAATCATCGTTGGGTTGGCCATAGATGCTCTATAAGCTGAAAGATTTTCTGGAGTACGAA